TTTAATTAAATATAATAAGTTAATTCACAATTCATGTGATTTATTCTGTTAAAAATTGTATTGTAAATCTATCCTCAAAATTTGATAGCTCTAACTTTAATAGCCAAAAAGATAAAAGCAAAATAGTACAAAAAGAGCAATAATGCCATCAGTTTTAAAAATTAAATACAAAGCCAAATAGTGGGAAAAAATAAATCACTAAAAAAATCATAACTTGTTTCCTATAAATGATAGAAAGATTATCTTGGTGTCATTGGAAAGCTTAAAGCCAGCTCTTTCCTATGATATGCTCTATGTCTGTGTCAGATGTATTTGAAAATTTGAGTTGGAGTACCTAACAATGGTCTCAATGGAAATTTAGACAACTCCAACTTCTACAAATACATGGCTTACATAAAGAGCACAACGAAACTGACACAAAAAATACTGCTGAGGTTAAAATAAATTCTCAAATTTAAAACCAGTCATAAGTCCTACTAAATTATAATATATAGTTAGTAAAAAAAAAAGGAAAATATTCAGTGTGATCTTTGATTAAGTATATTTTTAAAGTAACACCTAAGCAAGCCATGTACAGGATGTGAGTTGTATATATTATTATTTCCAATTCAAATGCCCAAGTTGTCTCTGTACACCTATAGAACATGCTTAATCACGCACAGTACAGAACTACATAATATATACCTCCATGTTCTGCATACTTGGGGTTTGATAGGATCTGCTTTGCAAACTTCAAACCACTTTTATAATGTTTCTGCTCATAGCATTTCTGAAACATGAAAAAAATATAAAATAGGATGGGGAAGCGTTATTCACACAGCTCTGTGAATAACGTTTAGCGTTATCGGCAGACCGAAATCTGTGAATAACGGCGAGCGTTATTCACACAGCTCTGTGAATAAGCGTTATCGGCAGACCGAAATCTGCGAATAATCATATAATGCATTAGATCTAGACTGGTGAAAAATTATTGTTGGATGTAGGCTATTAATATTGGGGTTGAAATGGCTAGAAAGACTTTGCAATTGTATGCTAGTAATTAGTTTTTGTAGTGTTGCGTTTGTTTTAAATGTGGTAAATTATAGATTTGTATTTTGTTGACATTGTACCGCGCCTCGAGCCTTTGGGGATGAAGCGTGTTTTTGAAATGAACTTCATTATTAATATTAATATTACTATTAGTATACTGAACCGTCATGAGTTATTATCGAATTTTTTTTCACTATCAATTATAAAAAAAGGGCAAATTTATTACTAATATTAGTATGGTAATATCTGTATACCGGTAGTATAATAGTAATAGCCTATTACTATACTAAATATTATGCAGTATAAAGTATATACACAATTGTAGTATAAGTAATATACTTAGTTACTTAGCTTAATCAGTATACGCATACATGGGCGCCCGCAGAAAACTTTCGGGGGGGGG